CACAACTCCAAAAGAGAATCAAAGGAGCACAAAAATGACTTAAACTGATCTCAAAATACTTAATCCCAATGTCTTTTACGAGCAAAAGAATCAGATGAGCACAAAAAACCCAACCTATCCTTCAAGATCAGAATAATTTCAATCTAAAAATAGTCACTGTTTTCCCCCCCAACAACTCCTCAAAAGGGGAATAATGAGCTCAACTTTTCACTTCTATCATCAATGAAACCTGGGACAAACAAACATATTCTACTGTTTGTAGCAGTAAAACTTGCCAAAACAAGAACAAACGAGACATGTAACCACGAAGTGAACCGAGTAAAGCAATAGGCATTTACCACGTTGCCACTCCAATTTCCGTACCATCTCAAGCAAATATCACAAGCGACTAGCATATTCAAATTTTCTATGTAATTGCCAGTCTCCTCAGTCAGCAAATAAAGTGGTCCGTCCATTCCCCACATCAAACATCCAAACATCAAAAACCACAAAAGAATGACTATCTCCATTCCCGGCAATTGCCACACCTCCAGCCGTCCTCCTGAGGCAACTGCTGGTCCCATGGAGAACAATGGCTATGAATGCAAACATCACATATCTGACAAGAAAGATCCGGGAAAGGATCAGTGTGGGAACAAATCTTACAAGGAATATGGAGATTGGTTTCAATAGATATCATAGGTTCTTCATTATCATAAGATATCTTGAGAGCTTCATTTTGTGGGAATGCGGATGGATTTTCCCAATTTTCTATTGGGATTTCTGATAATTCAGCACCATTTGAACCACCAGCATCTTCAGAGTCGAGCAACTCATTAAAAGAGAAATATGTCTGAGGTTCAAACTCCGCATCATCAAAACCAAGACAGTCATAATCCAATGTCATAGCTTCATCAAATCCCCCATTAGAAACGTCCCATTCAACTAGAGGGGAAATGAATCTTCCACAGAGCTCACGGCATTTGCTTCAAAAGAAGCGGATGCTTGAACCTGAAAAGAATTGGTTGCTGAAGAAGAATTTACATGGTTTACCCGCGCTATATGTCTCCTAACAGGCAACTTTTCAGTTGAGTTGAAAACATTTGCTTCTAGAGGAGAAGTTAAGCTATCAGTTGGCAAAGAAAAATTTGCACCATTTTCCTGCTTGATATGCCTTCTGACAGGCAGTTTGTGAGGCCCAGGCCCAAATGCAGTATCATGAATCCATGGATGATCCACTTTCGATTTGTCCTCAGTAAGTTGCTCGACTCCAGAATGACAAAAGAGGAGAGGATCATCTGCCGGCACATGCAGAACTTCCTCTTTACCTTGTGCAGAAATTATACTGGAACCAGAGTCCATTCCCGATATTTTCTGCTTTGGAACCTTCTTCATCATC